CATGATAATATCTTGACGTTGTTAGGAAAACTCTCGTAGAAGCCTCTTACCATTTATCATATTATACGCGCGCAAAATGTTGTTTCGTGATCGGATTAGTGAATTTTAATCGCTACTAATTTAAAAACTATGATAGCCTCAAGATTTTCGTATTAGGATTTTTATCTTAAAATGTTCCAAAGAATCTGATTTTAAAAATACATACGGCGATTTTAAGAGACTTTTTATATAAAATATTTAAATGAAGTAAAAATATTTAATTCTACTTCGATAGAATGATTGAAATTATCGCTTCCCATTAAAAAGTTTTATTGATATTAAAAAACCAAAGACATTTAAAGTTACTCAAGACCATCAAAGTATGTCGACCTATTTGTTCTACATCTTTGATAATAGATGTCTTCTCTCTATCTTTAATCAGTTTAAAAAAAAAACGTAAACTTTTTATCAGACTCGCCCTGTATATATAAAAAAAATATATATATATATGCCTGTTCTTTTTTGTTGAATTTCTTGCATCATTTATCTCTTTCTTTTATCAACACATAAAGAAAAAAAGAAAAAATAATAAAGCGTGCAAGAAATTCAGCTCAAAAGAATCGATCTTATATATATATACATACATATGCTTACACATTATATTTACATCTTATATTTATTTTACATACTTATTTTACATACTTATAAAAATTACAATAACCAATTTTACATACAAAAAGTTAGAATAATAAATCTTTCACGGAGAGTTTAAAAATAGTAACTGCTTCACACAAATATTCACCTTTTAAACGATTTCTCTTTTCAGTGATGATATTTTCAGCTCGTGAAAATAGTCATTCACTTAAAACGGAAAGATCGCAATTATACTTAAACATTTTATAATGCTGTGTTTTGTAAATCAGAATGCATATTTATTAGCCAATATTCTAATGAATTGTCATCTATTTTTATTGATCAGCTGGAGCCATATGCCATATCAAAAGTTCGAATCATTGCTCAAGTGATAATACACTGTAATATTATTGGTTTGTATATCGCCAAGCTGTGCTAATAAGTATTGATATATGAATATCGATACTGTATATATCGCCTGATGTGTATGTACACACGGAAACACAACGCCTTAACATCCAAAGTTTTACGCGTATCGAAGAAAGTATGAGAAGGAATGAGAAAGCATGAAAAGGCATTTGTGTCCTTGTGTATACATATGTATGCATTGCATGAGTCATGAATATGTGATGCTTATTTTTTTTCAGATTTAACTAAACAAGACACTTATTTAAAATAAAATTTGATAAAAACCAAAAATTATGAATCTTTTCATTTCAGATTTAGAAGATAAGAATGAAGAGAATTAAAAAATTCATTGTCTATATGAATCAAAGGATTTCATTATTCAAGGAAATCATTAAGAATTCGAAAATCTTGGAATCCAACATTTAATAATTTCATCGCTTTAAAAAGGAATGTGGAATCTAAAAATTCAAAGATTTTTAGGAATCCAAGAATTCTTCGTCTCATCGTTATCTTTTAATTTTAATAATTTTAATTTTATTAGAGATTAAGTGTATCTTCTTGTATATTCTTGTATATTAGCATATTATGAATTCTGAGAATCTTTCATAAATTTTTATCTTTAAATCTCATCAATCTTCTTTTTCGTAATTATTTCTTAAAATGTCCTATTAACTATATCCATCCTTAATAATCCATTTTCACAATTTCTATTTATTCCTGATTTCTCTAGCTACTTCTTCTTTTTCTCTCTATTACTTCTTTCCCTTTATTGTTGTTGTTATTATTATAATTATAATACAGCCAACACACTCGTGTAATTTCTTTTACTTTTTTATAGCACAAGTTCATTTTTTATTTCATTAAAAGATTAAGACGGACGGTTAAATTTTAAGTATTCCTTTTTTATTTTTTATTTCTGTTTGTTGGTGAGCCGATATTCGCTGCTGAAGGCACAAGGCTTTGCACTAGAACTCGGTCACCTAACCTAGCTCACTCATTTACTAGTTTCATGTTCTTATGGGAATTTCTTTAAACCTCGAGCAGGAGCATATATAACATCGCATTAATCGATAGTGACGTATTTAATAAAAATAATGATTTAAATATTTGAAATTAAAGACTTATTTTGAAGAGTATTATACAAATCTGATAGATTATTTTAATGTAATAATAAATAAGAGCACATTTCATATGATTGACTATTTTCTCAAAAGTGCAATCGCTCGAGAATTAATTCAATTCGACAAGTTTCATTACTTTTGAACTACGCATTACTGTTTTTCTAGATTATCAATCGATCGCTATACCCTCTCGTTCGATTGCTTTGAAATTTCTACCGGTTTAGAACGAAAGATGATCGATTCATCTTAAGCATATCATGCATCTCATTCGTCATTACTTAACTATCTTATAAAATTTAATCTTCGATCGTTTAACGGATAGAGAAAACCGATTTTAAATTATTTCATTTAGTCGAAAATTGTAGCCTAAATAATAAATAATATTGGAATAATTTCAAAATTTTCAATGTTTTAGACTTGCTAATTTCAGACTTTTAGTTTCTATTGCATTATATTCTTAATTTAATTTTTTTAAATAATATATAGAATAAGAAATAATTGCAAATGTATCAGATGCGACATCTGATAAATTTAGACTACGCTATTATTCGCTGTACAATTTTCGACTCAATTAAACATTCAAAATTGATTTACTCCATTTACTTAAAATATATATATCCATTTCTTAATAAAAAAAATATGCGTTTTTCCATATTTCTGGTTGAAAACAGTTCATTCAGAGAGTTCTATACCATTTGCCCACTTTCTCCTCAAAAAAAAAACATCAGTTATATTCATTATGAATATTATATTTCTTCGTATATCTTTGTAGGACGTCCCATATATTTCCTTTTATTTATTTATTAAAAATGCACATATTAATAAAAATTTTCTGCTATAACGATATTTAAAAAATGAAGTCATTTAGCATATAATGCAAATGTTCTATTTTGTTTTCTGTATATTATTTATGTATATAATATTTCTATATTCCGTAAGAAAATAATACATTTCAAAAAATTCCTGTTTCATGACATATAAAGAACATTTATATATATATATATATTCATAATGTATCTTAAAAAAATATGTCTTTTGCGAAGATAATATCACTCCTTTAATTTTTTTCTTTTGTAGGGACGCCCTGTACAACTTTATATAGTTTGTATTAATAAAGATATTAATACACTGTTTCAGACACGCCATCTTGCTGCCGTGTAGATCCTTTCCAATCTCATTTTCGCTCTAGTCTCTACTTCTCTCTCCCTCCCTTTCCCTCTTTCTCTTTTTCACACACGCGCGCGCACACACACGCCTATTTCCTACGCTCTTTTTCCTTCTTTCTAGTATAAACAATGCACATGCTAGCAAGATATATATGAGTGCTATATGAGTGATATAGACTCTATGCTATTATTATATATATCATATCTATTTTCTTTTCTTTTCACGTTTCATTTATGCTGCACAACAGTATATACGTTACGGGCTTCATTTCTTTTCACTCTTTTTAAGATCAATATTTGAAAAAATGCTGTTATTGATAACTACAAATTTTAATCGAATTTGTTTATCTTCATTAGTAGCATTGACGTTTAAATTATTTCTTCGCGATCATTCACAATTTTTTACATTAGTCTCATCCTGCCAACATAATTTTCTACCCTTTCCCTTTCTTATAATAACCGCACTTGCTGCTATTCATTTTCTCATGAATGACAAATGTGATCATGAATGACGAATACGCATTCGTCAAATATATCAATATCTTATTATATAATACATTACATTTACATATTGATTGTGTGTAAGGATGTAGAGGAAATAGCGATAAAATGTAAATTGCAGGTAGCTTTCTTTATATACCTTCAATCTCTGTTCTCTATGTATCACAGCCTGGGCCGCGCCACTGCCTTTCTCTCATAATGATATATTTTTATTCCCATTCCTTTCTTTACCTACTTGGAACAATTGTGTTTCTGCGTGTATCTTTAATGTGCGAGGCCTTTTCTGTTCCGCGTTTTTGACCAATCCCACACGGTTCACGTAAATTTAACGGGATATAATATTTGTTGATGGTGACATAATATTTGCGATTTTGTGAATAAAAAAAGGTATTGATATGATTGAGTGAGTATGACTATTTCAATTTAAACAGTCATAATACATGAAGATTATAAAAGTTGCAGATTTGATAAATGGCTATATCTACAAAAGATCTACAAAAATTGATTCATGAATCAAACAAATGTATCATTATATTTTATAAATCATTAATAAAGCATAAAGCAGGCATGTCCAATTCTAGTTCCGAAGCCTAAATGCTTCCTCCACTCTAATCTCTTACGTGATAAAATGGAAAAGATGAAAAGTGACATAAATGCACTCAGCAGCTATCTCACTCATCATTTTCTCTATTCTATTTCATTTTAATGATTCAGACCTCTCTCTCTCTCTCTCTCTCTCTCTCTCTCTCTAAATAATTCATTCTCAAACGTATTTTATTTACATATTTATAACTTTCCTTTTTTGCAGTATCATATACATAAATCTACAAAGAATCTCTATAAAGAATAAAATGACTTTCTTTGTGTCACACATAATCTCACGCGAATAATGTGGGACCGGTTTACATATGCTTGCCTTACAACCCGTATAAGAATCGATCAATCTAGGGTGACTAAAGATGGTCAATCAAAAATAAACAAATGATCAAAATAAATCTAAAATAGCACTGATACAATATGTTGATTTGCGATGTTGAGGCAGTGGCATAATGGTGCACTAGTATAAGAATTACGCAGGCCGTTTTCCACGTCCATGCGTCCATAGACGCCGTTGTTGCTATTGCTTCTACTGCGACGTCAAAAGATTTATTCAGCCGACCGGCGCTATCGCCGTTAATCGGCGACTGGGAAACTAGGGCATCACGTCCCAGATTTCAGCGAGGAAAACTGGCAGCTTCTTGTTCTTAAATTTCAGGTTCAAGCACATTTCACTGTTTTGATTACCAAGGGTTCTGAGTTCAGTTAGAACTGATAGAAGTTTAGCGAAGACCGTACCGGACTTCGGTCGACGACGATTATCCACATATGCTTTCAAAGTTTTCAAGTAGATTTCCTGAAGCTCCTCCACTTTTCTGCTTTCCACCAAATTGGGTCTTTCTGCAAAGCAATAATCATTATTACAAACAGCACAGAATTTTTCAGTTATATTGCAACAATGTTATGTCATTGCAAATTGTAATATAAATTAATAGATATATTATACCTAATTAACATTTGTTCGCAATAATAATAATGTAATATTCAATAAATACAAAAGAAGAAGCTTAAACTGGATGTTTAATGCTATATATTTTAATAAACACACAAATAAAATCATCATAGACTTCAACTTCCATCGGATCATTTTCAATTCAGATACAGTTAAAATTTAATTAAATGCGGTACATTATTAAAATAGCAATTAAAAATTATTGAATAAAAATCCTAATAGTAGAAATTACTTTTTTGTATATTGATGTCGCTCGTAATTTCTCGTGAGAAGTAAACTGCTTGAACGTTCCGTAATTCGCAAATACATTGAATAATCGTCAAAACCAAAAAATTAACAACAATAAAATGCGCATATTGATCAAATTAGATCAAATTAGATAATATAAAATTATAGGTATAAAACATTTTGAAGAATACATATATCTACGCATTTGAGGTTTTCACGGATATTATCTTCAATTATACCAGAGAGTTTGCGGGTTATCGCCGTGTCTTTCTTCATTCTTAATGCCGACGTTTTGTAAACTATACCGTTTACTTTATTAGGACGAGGGGTGCACTGATACTAACAAGTAAACCTACCCAAGTGTGACTTTCCGATTTTGATGAGCTTTTAGTATGTTCTCCAGACAAAAATAAGTGACACGTATTTTTTTATACGTGTCCATACATACTTTTAAGGGCTAAAACACCCCTTTGAAAAAAATCGGTTTTTCTCTTTCGAAGCGAATATCGTCGAAACTATAAGAGATAGAAAAAAGTTTCTAAAATGAAAACTGAATGGTTTTAAGAGTACTTTATAACTAATAAAAAAACATTTTTTAATTATTTATTGTATACTTTCATCCCCTTCCCTATTTTCAAAAATTTTTTAATTTTTATATGACGAAAATTAAAAAGCATTTTTTGCTGAAATAACGGTGTGTATTTAAATCACTTTCCGAAAAATCATTTTTTAGATATGAACGAAAACGACAAAACGAAAAAAATTTAACTTCATTGTTAAACGTAAAAGAGAAATAAATATTTTGATTCCTGCGGGACGACCAGTATGATTCAACCATTGGATGTTCATACATTTAGGCCGTGCACAGTGGGTCAGAAGGCAGGTAAAAACGGCCAAAAATTAACTTCAAAATTTTAAAATGATTTTCATATTCTACATAGTTTAAACCATTTATTAGCAAAATTATATTAGAATTGGTTAAATTATTGTGGGATCCATTGTACTCTAAAGTCAGAAATGTACAGAACGTTCTGTACAGAAATGTACAGAAGAAATGTACAGATGAAGTGAACGGCATGGTTCACGAAATATTGGCATTAAAAATGAAGAAAGACATTGCGAACTTACAAACCGTCTGGTATAAATACATATGTCTATTAAAAAACTGAAAATAAATTTCAATTGATATATAACTGTCAAGTAAACACAAAAAAACTCTGACCTAAATATTACAAAAAAAGAACAAAATATAAATTCTAAATACCTGGGAAAGGACCGTCCATTCTCTCTCTCATATACGAAATATATAATTTCTCACAAAAGATGTAATAATATCTAATTAAAGGTAATGTAGTCCGAAAATTATCACGACTAAGTCTTGCATTTCAGTATATATAGCAAAAAGCTTGCAGAAATTCAGGACTACCATCACGTTCAATATTCACGTTGCCTTGCATTTCAGCATGGCAACAAACCGCGGAAATGCAAGACTTATTTCAAAATTGCCTTAAGTAATGTCTTAAGATGCTAAAGCGGTCCTCTGATTGGTTCGTAACTCTTCAAGACTGAACTTAAGACAGTCTTGAATATAAGAACTGACTATGAATACCGGCCTAAGTTCAGCATCTATGCGCAGACAAAGATCGAACGAAAACAAAGTCCATCGGATATGACATCAAAATGACAAAATGGCACCGCGGTTTTTTATATTCGACTATTGTGGATAACGCGATTTCGTATAATAAATTAAATTGACACGTTATGCGCTAAAAACTTTTTAAGAAATCACTGAATTCTCTTTTGAAATCTCACTTGAAATCTCTTTTTTTTTCTATATTATAACAGCTAGACCGAGAAAAAATGTCAGAGCTCGGTGCCAGGACTTGAAACGAGACCTTGAGTTATTCGTATTAGCAAACAATCGTCTCGCCGCGGAGCCACACACCGACTGTAGGGGCTTAAGTTAATATCTTACAACATGCTTTTTGTTCAACCATTTTTTCTCTTTTAAAATTCTGCTTTTTGTAAATAATTATTTTTCTTATGCCGTTATCTTTATCCATTCATTTAACTTCATTAGTCTTTCAATTTGGTTTCTTTAAATTCCTGAAATTTTTAAATTTCTTAATCCTCCTCTCCCCTGTCCATATTTATCGTTATATTTATCAAGTTTTCTGCTTATTATAAACACAAATAGTAGATAATTCAATTCTGTTCTTTTTTCTACAACTGACCAATTAATTTTCTCTTTAACTCACTATTTCTTATTGCATAATCAATTACTGAATTCAGTGAATTCCTTTTTGATCCCATATATGTAAATTTTGCGTCCTTATTTTCGATTTTATTTCCGTTCAAAATGTGCCATCCTCTTTCTCTTCTATCTATTCCAACAATTTCTTACACTCGATGTTTATTGTCTTATCTCTTAACATTCTAATTACCTCATCTATATACCCCCCTTCATAACCGTCCCTTTATTCCTTACCCTAATTAAAATTCTCCACTACTAAAAAATTCTCTTCATTATTCTGTATCACTACATTATCCTCTACTATACAGCTACTAAGATTTTCATCTCCTTCATAATTTCAGTTATTCCTTGTTTATTGTATATTGTTACGACTTTCCATTTGTCTTTTCCTATAATTATTCTTCTTACTCAATCTCCTTCCATCTTCGGTTTTTTCTACCTTCTCGTTCTCTTCCTTGATATTTTTTCTTATTCCTGTAATAATTACTCCTATTACTCATGGTATAAATACAAGGGTATGCTCGTCCGGTGGTAGACTACTGCGCAGGAATTGGAGTGGTGGGGGAGTCTACATGTTGACGTCATCGTCTCGGCTGTTTCCGGAGCGGTTCGGCTTCTTGAAACAGGGCCGCTATTTATCCAGTCTAATAGCATCGGCACCTTTGATCTTTTTCAGCCGGACTTTCAGACTGCGCCATGTTGTTGGTTGCCAAGTACCGTATCAATAGTAACCACTGTCTATAAAAATTTTTTAATTTTAGCAAATTATAATAAAATGATTAGATAGGTCCATGGGTCTACTCTTAGGTCCATGGTGTGACACGATAAACTCTTAACTGTGTTTAGTTATGTTTTTCCATTATTATAACGTAGATACGATGGATTCTCTACTTTGATCGGGATTGGTGCTACCAAAAACATGGCCGTTTTACGATGCGCAAGCAAATCTGCGCGGCTGAACCGAAAACGGGGCCTTGTCCCTACTATATATCCTTATACTGTGGCGTTGTTGTACGTACTACGTGCATCAGTGATACGAAGAATTATCGAAAATGAGCTGTGCAGTAAAAGGATGTAAGAATTATAACCGGAAAACGAGAAATATGCCAGGAAGAAAAGTTCAATACTTTTCTTTCCCGAAGGATAATGCAATGGTTTTGAAGTGGCTGGAAGTTTGCAGGAAACAAGACCTCTCCAGTACATTCCCGTTGTTCTTTGTTTTTTTCCTTATATTTCTTTTATTGAAGCCATAAGTTTAGTCTTATTTCTGACCTATTTAAATTTTCCTCGTTTTGATGACGTCTACTTGGAGACAATTCTTATTGGTCACTTCTTTGTCACGTGATTTCTAGATGCGCAATAGCACATACCCTTGTATTTATATCATGCTATTACTCTCCTTTTGTTATTCTCTCTCTTGTCATGTTAATATCCCCAACTGAAGTTCTCTAGCATGTGCTTCTTTAATCTGTATCAGTATTTTCTGCTATACAGATTTCTGCTATAAATTTTCTGCTATACAACCATTACGTCATTATGTCAAAATTTCCTGATAATTCCAGAATTATCTTTGTTGTCGAATCTTGCAACATTCCAAAAACCAATTTTAATTTTTCCTATTTCTCGAATTTGAGTTTTTCCTCCTTATTTCTTCTTATGTTTTCGATAGCGTGTTTACTTTTCCTCCATCGTCTCCGCATCCTTTTCTCCGCCCCGTTCTTCCGTTCTTACAGACTTTGGCAAAATATGAGATCTAATCAGATGAGCGTTCTGTCAGCTCTCTTGTTATGATCCTATAGAGCTCTGTCTGCTCAAAAAAGTTCTGTTCCTCTAAGCCATCCTCCTCTTTTCAGACAAACTTATTCTCATTAACATGCAGCTTCTTATAACCAATCTTCACCTTGGCTCCTTTGGTTCTTTCAACTTCCACTATCACGCATATCTTTTTTTGTGCCTGCTTCCATTTTCACGTTAAGTTGTTATCTATAAATTGTTCTTATCTTTCAAATTCTTTTTATTTATTTCTCTCGTTTTTCGTATTAAATTGTACCTGGCGAATTGTATTATTGTCGATACTATGCAAAAGGATTTTTTCATCCGTAAAGCTTGCAACCCTTGCAACTAAACGAGCTTTAACTAATTAATCATAAAACAGGATACTCCAGCATCCCCTTAAGGGGATCCTAAAGACGATTAGTCATATTGGAAATAGCACTTACACATAGACGATTACGTGTCACTGACACATCACTACATCAACAACAGTTGACAACGATACGTTATTGTGAGCATCGAAAACTCCGAACGTCGCATTTCTATGATAACGCACTTTCTCGTTAATTTCTGATTTAGGATTTTTTTTTACTAAACACGCATTGTCCAACTTTGCCAACCTCCATACAGTCCAGATATAACCCTGTGTGACTTTTGATTATTCTCAGGTGAATGAGCAGGTGCGTTAATGTGGAAATGCGACGCATAGATGTTGATGCTTATGTAATTGTGTACCATTGCCGACTGAACAGCTATTGAGCCATGTCACTTAGTGGAGGCACTCCACAAGGCTCTCCCTAAATATCCAATACCTATCTTCCACAATGGAAAGAGGATATTCAAGGACAAAGATATATTTAAAGATTAGATACTTTTGGGAGAGACTTCGTATATATACATATAAATGGTTTAAATAAATATAAAGATACCATCTTTGCTTTTCCACATATTTATCGAATATTCTATATTATAACCGCTAACTTTATATCATAAAAAAGACATTCATATTGTAAAATTAATATTAAATTATAAATCCAAATCGATAAAACTTTTTAAAATTTTTTTCCAAATATAATCTTTAAATTTTATTTATTTTATTTTTGAAATCACTTATTTATAATGAATTTTAAGATAGCTATGATTTTTAAAAAATTACCTTACATTTACCGTGACTTTATTCACATATTTCTTTGTTTCACCAATTGTTATTACCACACACTTTTCACTTTTTAATCGTATACTAGAAGATTGACATTGAGTTATTATAAATTTTGGTTCAAAACTATCTTGTTACGGTGTAACCCTTTAATATGAATGTCCTCACTAACAATAAGATGGATAGAAAATAAAAAATGACAATGTGAATAAAGATTAGGTTATTGTTTTAAATTAAAAAAAAAAAACGAGTTACTCTTCAGAAAAAAACACGATAATGTAATGATAATGAATTACTTTCATAACTCTCATATAATCCTGATCTATTTATTTTAAGAAGTATTCATTAATTCGCAATCATTACCCATTGTCCTTTTTACGCTGTCAATTTTTACCAAATAGTCATGAAGACGTGTTTCAGACATGCGTAGATATAATTTTCTGAATATAATACGAAATGATTCATAGAATAGATATTTAAACTGAAAATTGTATTTATTTGGATACTTGATATATTTGATGCAAAACTTTATCATATTTTTATACATACCTGAAAAGATGACAATAGCTGTGAGTAAAGCATATTCGGCATTATTAACCCTCATAGCATACATTTGACGACAGAATCGCAAAAGATCCTCAATGGTTTCTCCCATTCCGGCAACATTATAACTGTCACGTGTATATGATTGATTGTTAGCAAAAATGATGCTATCGGTATGCACATCATACTTTCTTGCCATCCGTAACATCATCACCTCACTAGAGCATGCCTTCAGAAGAGTGATTTGATCTTCACGTAACAGCTCGTTGAAGCCGGGTAATCTCTTCGAAAACTCGACAATTAATTGAACAGTCAGAATCGTGATTTCAGTAATATGTCTGAAACTATAATCACTCGGATCTTCGCCTTCCATTGGTTGATTCTGAAAAAAAAAAAAAATATCAAATGCAACATTATTTATCACTTTATGTTTATGTATAAATATTTTAATGTTAACCGTGTACAGAGATACAATTACAGCCCACAAGTACATATTTTTTCCTTTTCTAAAAAATGGATGTTAAGTCGATACTCATAATATCGAAATTTATTGTTGTCGCTTTTCGATCATGCTGATTGGTTCTTTCGTCGCGATTACTTCGTAAGCAGCTGTCAATGCTATCAATGTGAACGGCTGTTGCGCTTAACAAAATATTTTTGAAATTAAAAAAATATCAATAACCAGCAGCTTTTGAGAGAAAGTGCAAGAGATAAAAAATGTTTATTTTGAGTTAATAAATTTATTAAGTAGCTTTTACTTGAACTTTTTGTGTGATTTTTGTAGGTAAATATTTAATGATTAAAAAGTTTCAACTAAAAAGTACTTTTACATGCTTGGAATAGTAAATGCTCATGCAAAGTATAAATAATATAAATAAACGTTCTTAAAAATCTTCGAGGCTTCATAAAAGAACGTGTTATATTAACTGCTCTAACAATGCGTGAAGATATGATGAATAGAATACGTCGAATTTGTGCACAAGTAATACCACAGATGTTAGCTAATATTCATGAAACTGAAAATTGGCCCAGAGAGTTAATCCGGAATCACTGAAATGCAGAGCCCGTTCTATCAATTTTGAAAAAAACTTAAATTACAGCTTTCTAAGCAAATAAAAACAATAGGCATAAACACATTATCAAAACATAGTGAAAATATCATTTAAACAACAAACGAATAATAAAAATATTCATTTTCACGTATCAAATATAAAGAAATATTTAAGACCTACGACTTATTAGGTGTATATCTATGAAATGCGGATTTTCCTAACAAGTGGCGCCTAACAAATAATGACACATACGTTCTTATGCGTGGTGATTTGACATATATAGTATTTTGTTTGGCTATATTTTTCTAATCTACAAAACCATACATGTGGAAAATTGTGAGAGTGTAAATATCATAGTCTTTTTCTGCTTTGAAAATGTCGAATTTTGTACCAAAAAAAGACCATTTGGTTTTGATTTATATTTTTTTTAGCTTAAATAAAATGAAGACTCTCATCAAGGTTCACAAAGATCCTCTTCTTAAGGCGAATTTTGGCGTGCCTCTGGTATAGCAACCAAAAGTAACCGCGACTAAGGCTATCTTCGTTTTCAGGTATCAGAAGACAAAGATATGCTCAACCACGGTTGCTTTTGGTTGCTATACCACAGGCACGCCAAAATTCGCCTTTAATACCTTGAAAAGGAACGTCATTTACAAAATCAATTGTCTCGAGTGTGATGCATTCTATATGGATCAAACTGGTAGAAATTAGAAATCAAATTATCGAAACACCGGAAACATATTCGTAGCCGGCTTCCATTCATCCTGTTATTACATAAGTAATAACATTATGAACCATAAGTTGCATCATGGTCACAATTTTGATTGGGACAATGACAAGATTTTGTGTGGATGCGGAATTTTTTTATAATAAACACATAATTTCGAAAATGTTACATATTAATCAATAGAAAAATAATTTTAACTTACAAACTGACACGAATTAACCTTAAACAATGCTTACATTGAAATTTTTAAGAAAGTATAGGATATGTGTATGTGTATATATATATATATATATTATCTATATGTATCTATATATGTATAAATATATTTTATATATACATATATGTTTATTTCTTAGTTCAACTGCAGTGTTTTAATTAAGCGTTTATTACAGAACTGACTGATTGTTATAATAATAAAACTTATTTTTATTTATCTTTTTAATTTTTTCAATTTTTAACATATGACGAAGTTTCAATTATTGTGCGATTGTTTAATTATTGTTGCTATGTTTTTACTATTTCTGTGTGACTTCTTTGGCCCTATGAGGTGAGCATATCTAATTTATGTTGTCCAATTCTTATAATTTCCAATAATTTTTAATTTCCAGTTTGAGTTATTTTATCGCAACTCAGCGTTGTAACTGTGTTGAACAACTTGTTCTTGCCTCATAACTGTTCCACAATGGTCACACACAAATTGAAAGAATGAAGTTATTGTAATAGTGTGCTGAAGATAACTCAAACTAGAAGCGCAACGTACAAATTTATTGAACGTATCGTCTGTTAAATTGTTTTTTTCGAAATATGAACACCTGTAATTGACTTCGGCCTTTTTTATTTTACATTTTCTCGTTTTATTGTATTAATTAAAGGAGTCTATAATTTATGACAATTTAATAAATTATTTAAATATTAATAGTGTTTTGGAAAGCGCGCTTTCGAGATAAGCTACAAGAATATGCAATAAAAAGTTTCATTTAAAAAATTTTAAATAACCTTTTCCTGGCCTTGACAATGTCACCAAGATCAAACTAATTGTAGCATTTTATGTCCTCCTTGTCTCCTCACGGTTTAATAAAAGAGATTCTTTATTGTTTAATTTTAAAAGAGAGAGTGGTAGGCCGACTTCGTACAAGTATAATTTTTTTTAGTAAAAAGCATAAAAAAACTGTACAAAAAAGTAATTATATAGTAAACAATATTAGATTTTGTTGAAAAATGATATGGATGATCTTAAAATCATAAAAATAATGATTTGGAATAAATTTTTGCCCTATTTCGTGTAATTGTTTTTTCGAGTCGTAATAATTTTAGTTAATAATATATATCTAAAATAACAACACATTTAAATGTATCTTTTCTCTTATAAGTATATTAATATACTAAAAAGATAAATAATTAAGAATAAAAATTTGTAATATAATAGAATATAAAATGTAACACATACAGTAATTCTTTTTAGATCCTCTTCGCTCGGCTGTTCGAATTCACATTGAAAAGACACGAGCCTATTTATCAGTTCTTCTTGTTCAGGACTAACAGGCTTAACACAGGTATAAGGACTGATAGGAGTAAGAATGCCGCTACTTCCAGACATGGATAATGATTCGGCTTCCGCTGGTTCGATTTTGACGCCCATTTGATCACCCATTCCAGCGCTGCCTGGTGAACCGTTCATTGTCGTACTGTTTGGTTTATCTTTTTCCTGCAGAATATATTAAATCAGATATATAAATAGCTCCATAAATCTAAGGAACTAAGCATACAAACATCTTCAAGTAAAATAATTTATAGAACTTTCTAGAATTGAAATTTCAACAAATTACCTTCAATCTGTATTTCTAAGAAATAAGAATTGTTTACACCATAACAATGTACATTAGATATTTTTGTTAAAATAAAAATAATACAGCAAATACAAAAATATAAAAAAATTATATTAATTATCTGTTAAATTATTTTTTCGATATATGAACAACCTGTGATTGACTTCTATGGCCTTGTATATTACATTATTTTCTTGTTTTATTATGTATTAATTAAAGGAGTCCAATCCTAAGATATCCAATATGACGGTTTTTCAATGATACATTTTTCCGCCATATTAGATCCGTCATTTTGAATTTCGATAATTTGACTTTAGATTCAGATTTAGTGACCTTAAAAATCTTGCTACTAAAATCAACACACAGTTCTTAAAACTTTTTCTTCAAAAACATCTTTGGCACAAAATGTTTTTTTTTGCGCGATACGTAACCTCACTTTTCTATTAAAAAAAAAAATATATATATATATATAAGGTATCAAATAATAAATAAATCATATAAATCAATTTCAAAATGTTGCTATATTTAAAATATTGTTCCCTATCTCTCAAAAAATACAAGAAATTCTTTATCTATTACTATTATATTTACTCCAAGGGATAAACTACTGATCAAAATAGTGTACATCAGTCAACGAATAAGTTTGAATATGATGATTTAGTTATCGTATTTTCATTTCAGTTCTAGTTCAATATCTTATTATTAAATATAAAAAATTCATCAGTTTTATTTAAGACTAATGGGTCAATTCTAAGCAAACGTATCGTTAAATCGTAAAATTACAAACTGTAATAGGCCTTCTACAACAAGCCATTACCTAAGTTGTAAGTATTAAGTCATAAGAAATTGACCACTCACACTCGATTATTCTTCTCACATTCGATTGTGATTGGTAAATTTCTTATGACTTAACACTTAAAACTTAGGTAATGGCTTATTGTAGAAGGCCTATAGTGCTTATAACTTTATGTAAAGTTTTTACAGACAACTTTTTGCTAAGATTTACGAGAAATTGTAGGTATTTATGAATAATCGTATACTTTACAATACGCGTAAAATTACAATTCCAGTCTTAAGTTCTTACAAATCTTACGAGGACAAGTTACGAGCCTTACGAGTTTGGTTATAGAATTGACCCATTATTCTTTGATTACATATAACATAAGCCTACATCCATGTACATCCATGTGTGCTCATGGACCGTGTGATACGCATGTAGCTATCGCTATTGCCTCGCATTGTGTCTGAGATTTAACTTCAAAAAAGTTAAATAAAAAATTAATAATTATCGATAAAATATAACTAAATAAAGATAAAAAATTTAAGAGTTTAAAATATAACTAAGTTAAGTTAAAATTAATTAACTTTTTAACTTAACATTTAACTTTTTAATTTAGCACTACTCAACTCTGGTAAATGTATATATGAAGTAATAGATAGTAATTAAATTTTTATCTATATTATAATATAAAGTACATTTTTTATATAATGCTAGCAATCCGTGGATCAGGGTTCGAGCCCATCTGCGTCTCATATATATACGCAGAAAATTTATTTAAATATCCTATAGGAACACTACTTAAAAGAGGCTTACTGCTTCATCGGTGTGATTAAAAGTTAGAAAACTTAAGGCTATTGTGAATTGTACGAAGAGCGTAAAGTATTTTGAGTTTACAAGATATGTCTGACAAAGAAACATTCCAAAAAGTGATATTAAAAGGCTAACGTTATCAATCAAAAAATCACGTATGACATAGATATTATATTGTATAATAGATGGTCAAATCTTAGGTTCCCATGGTTCTGTACCTGAACTTCGGTTGAAACGAGTTTGGCCATTTTAACTTAAACACAAAATATCTAAAAAATAATGCATTTTTTGGAAAAAATAAAAGTTGTAAGATATAAAGAAGATCAGCTATTTATAATTCTGACTATATTTTCCATGTAAGACAGGCTTAAAGCCAAAATACAAACTTTCACATAATGCACAAGGCATATAAGGCAATCAACCAATCAAAATCCACACGTATATGCACACGCATACACGAAGTTTTAGATTGAACCAAAAAATTATTTCGCTTCTTAGTTATGTTTTTGTATATCAGTCAAGTGTCATTATTTATAAAAAATATTAAAAATTAATAATATAATTGAATTATAGACTCTTATATATTTCAAAACAATTACAAAAATTAAGTAAAAAACATAAAAGGCTATGAAGAGTCAAAGCTGTTACCAGTGCGCAAAACATATATAATCTTAAAATTTAATACATAGATATAATGTCGAACGTTTCAATCCACGTGGATGTATTCTATATTGCAGGACAACATCATTGTTCACAACCTTGAGTATTTTAATTTTTTATTTGTAATTTGTCGCTGATGATGATCCGAAAATAGGGATCGAAACGTTCGACATTATATCTATGTATTAGATTTTAAGATTATATATGTTTTGCGCACTGGTAACAGCGTTGACTCTTCATAGCCTTTTATGTTTTTTATTTAACTAGACTTTTCCTGCGCGCGCTACGCGCGCGATTCAGAATTATTGGAGATACACAAACAAATCTGGAAAAGACCAAACTGGTTTGTTAATCCCCATAAAATTACAACGTAGGTTTTTTCTTTACTTAATTTTTTAAAAAATTTAAGCATTTATACATCCTTAAAATTTTTTTCCGGATTTGTCTAATTTATGAGATTATTATTTGTTTTTTCCTTTTTTTCCGTTAGTTTTAATTAACTGTCTTCATTTTAAATTATTGATTTTCGTATTTTTTTATTTTTCCCCGCTTCTTGAAATAGTCATGAAGATGATGATTTTCGTCTTCTTTTAATATTATTCAGTTGTTCTTCGTTTTTTTTGATATTTTTCATTCGTATTTTTTCGAAAAAATCATTAATTTAGTAAAATGAATTCTCAAGCAAACGATACGAACTCGAGAAATAATCATTTGGGGGATGTTACAACCTTTTTTTGGAGAGTGGACAAATGAAAATAACGGGTGGACAAACGTGGACAAACAGTGGACAAACGAATGCAATAATGATTTTATCAATATTCGCATTTAGGGGTGCCAACTTCATAAAGCAGCTCTGTAAAGTTGGAATCTGTAAATGCGAATATTGGTAATATCATTATTACATTTGTTTGTCCACTGTTTGTCCACGTTTGTCCACCCATTATTTTCATTGGTCCACCCTCCAAAAAAAAGTTATACACAAAAAAAATTGTAACACCCCCAAGTGGTTATTTTACATTATTACGAAAAATATAATAAAAATAGGGTGGACAAATGAAAATAATGGGTGGACAATCACGTGCGCATTGTGGACAAACGATACCCGTACATAATTATGAAAAATTATCACTTGGGGATGTTACAATCTTTTTTTGTGTATAACCTTTTTTTTCGGGGTGGATCAAAGAAAATAACGGGTGGACAAACGTGGACAAACAGTGGACAAACGGATATAATAATAATATTACCAATATTCGCATTTACAGATTCCAACTTTACAGAGCTGCTCTCCACGTTTGTCCACCCGTTATTTTCATTTGTCCACCCTCCAAAAAAAAGTTATGCCTAAAAAAAAATTGTAACAACCCCAAGTAATTATTTTACATTATTACGAAAAATATAATAAAAATAGGGTGGACAAATGAAAATAATGGATAGACAATCACGTGTGCGTTGTGGACAAACGATACTCGTACATAATTATGAAAAATTATCACTTGGGGATGTTACAATTTTTTTTTGTGTATAACCTTTTTTTGCGGGGTGGACCAAAGAAAATAACGGGTGGACAAACGTGGACAAACAGTGGACAAACGAATGTAATAATGATATTACCAATATTCGCATTTAGGGGTGCCAACTTCACAGAGCGCTACGCGCGCGATTCTTTTTTTTTGAACGACCACATAATTTTCTCTTACAAAATTTACACCAAAGCATAGTCGATTAAGCTTTAAATTATAATTACATTTCTTTGCGTCTTATTAAATTCGTCATATTCGGAAAACCTTTAAGATTTTCGCATCTTTTCCGTCCGCCATATTGGATAAGTCTTTTTTAATTATCATAATTTTTACCATGTTTTTAAAAGAGCGTCCCCGAAAATTCCTTGTTACCAAAATTCACCATTTTCGGATTACTTTAAGATATGATGATGATTTTTGTAGTCATTATTTATTGCTTTTATTAATATTTACTAAATTTCCTACTCCTGACCAACTAAAGCAATTCCAGCCATAACACTGTCTTTTCCATGCTTTATAGTTTGCTGCAAATAACGCTCTTGATGTTCTTCTCCGCTTTGTCTCTATATTCTGAGTCTTGTTTTTCGGTTGAATAATTCAAACTTATTATCATCGAACCACAGAACTTTCTTCTAAAAGTCGATTGGCATTTCTGAATATTTTTTCGCGAACTCTAAGCGCTTTATTTTATTTCATTTACTGATAAGCCGTTTTCTTGCAAATCGGCTATGCAACTTTGCTTCACGAAGTCTCCGTCGGATTGTTTTATGAGATACGTCTAATTGAAGGTCCTCTTGAATAGCTCGTACCGTTAAATATGGATTCTTCTTAATTACTCGTATAATACGAAAATCATCTCGATAGTCGTCGATGTAATGACGATAGCAATACTGAAAACAACCAATCAAATCTTACTCGATATGCACTTTCCTGCATATAATTGCGCTGGCATACTGAAACAGCCAATCAAATTTTGTCCAAAATTCACTCTTCTACTACGCATCAACGGAAATGTTTCATCTTGTTTCCTTACATCATGGTTTCAACAGCAAGACAAGGAGGTGCAAGGGAAACTACGGAACTTCGGATCACAACAAAATGTATAGACAAATTTTTTGAAAATGGAATCACTTTTAGTTCTAAAGATGGCATGCACGATAATGCGTTTGAAGCTGGAAACATAATAGGCACACAGGCAATAGGCACAGGCAACAGGGAATAATGATCCGTCCAATCAGAGCTCTGAGATATAATATCGAACTTATACCTCAGAGCTCTGATTGGACGTCTCGTTATTGCCTATTGCCAGTGCCTATTGTGTTTCCAGCTTAAATCTCGCGGCGAATTCGGTTACAGTTCAATTTGGCGAACCATTCTAACTGACCGTTTTAGGGACAAAAAGAATCACGTGATCAAAATTTACGATCAAGCGTTAATTTTGATCCTTTTTGTTGTTGAAACGGTTGGAGCATCTCGTGAAAATGTACCTTACAAATTAAAATCCGACACCTTCGATGGGATAATACTGTTACGCGAGTTCTTCTCGCAATTCCAGTTAATCGCGCGAATGGATCGCTGACGAAGGCTATTGCTTTAGATTCTTGTTTGAGAGGAAAAATCTTAAAAAAGACGCGTATCCCCACCAACAATTGACTCAAACTCGAATCTGTCAAATCAGACTCCAAAATACGATCGAACTATCCTATCGACAGGGAACGCTTTGGCCTATTTCCTGAATGCGGGCTCAAACTACAGAAATATCTCTCACAAATATAACATTGTTACCTAAAATATTAATACATGTAAAAACATATTTTTCATAATTATATTAAATGTCTAGTAACTTTTCCGACAATGCTCGTGGACAAGTAGAGCAGACTAAATTAAGTCAAAAAGTTCTCTATCATTTTACAATTCTCGTAACTTTTTTTAGTTACAATGTGAAAAATGTCTAAAATAAAAGCATAAGATAACTTTAAGGTATCCATAAAAGTTCTTTAAAAGCATCTTTAAGATATTTCGTAAAGAACTCTGAAAAATATTTTAAAGTTATCTGAATCGTTTATACCGTCGATTTTACCTGCTTATCTTGTTAATTATCCCGAATATATCTTGTTAATTATTCCGAAAATTATTTCATAAAAATAATACACAATAACATTCAAATAAAACGTTAAACAATATGCTGAATTAAACTACAGAATACATGTTCACGTAGGAATCAAAATGACAAATCCAAAGAATATACAAAAACTAATATTTATTGATGAAATTTTTGAGCTTTATAGGGGTTACTTTGTTATAGACACAAGGATAAACTATGAAGAGAGGATTACTAAAAACGATAATGTCACAAACAAAAATGCAACGGAGAAACGTTCGTTTGTTCATGCATTTGAGTTAGTTTGATCCCCACGCGACTACTGAAGGGATAAGATAATAAAAATTCAATAATTTAAGAAAAACTTCTCTTCTTGCAAAAATATATTTAAATAATTCTAAATAATTATTTCTTAGTTTTTCAATTTAAACGATTTGATTAATAAAAAAACGTCAAGGTATACATTTTTTACATAAATTGATCTTCTATAATATTTTACAATAGAACAAAAATGTTATAAAAATGTCAACATCAGATAAAATTTCATAAATATTTTGATATTTTTTAACAGAAACAAACAAAATATGAAATATCTCATAAAATATTCATTTTGTGATAGTTTTATTCTTAAGCTAATGAAATAAATCATTAGACAGAGATAAAGATGGATGGATGGATAGAAAGAGAGAAAGAGAATAGAGAATAGAATAAATTAGTTAATCAAGCATAAAAAAAATACATAGTTATTTTTAAAAACATATTTGGGTATGTTAAGTTAGCACCCCAACTATAGTACTCAGGAGTTCTGATTAGAGTTCCCACTTCCTTTTGACGAGACGAAGAGTTCCCTATAGTTAATAACAAGAGTTCCGCTCAATAAACATTTTTTTTACATTTTTTAAAAATGGGGTGCTAACTTTTTATCGAATTTCGAGGTGGAATAGTTCTGAGCGGCTTAATAGCTTCAATTTGCGATTGCCTAGAGTTCCTGATATGTAAAAAAAATTTTCGAATATTAAAAAAAAAATTAAAAATTTTTGAAAAATTAATTTTTAGATACAATAGTTCTGATGATAATTCCTGCTTCTTTTTGACGATACGAAGAGTTCTCTATGATTTTTAATGACATATGCGCTTAATAATCATTTTTTAATAATTTTTTAAAAATGGGGTGCTAACTTTTTAACGAAATTCAAGGTCGCATAGTTCTGATCAGCTTAACAGAACTATTTTGTGAATACCTAGAGTTCTTGATAAATAAAAAACATTTTTAAAATATAATAAAGTTTAAAAAAAATAGAAATCTTTGAAAATTTTTTTGAGAGTACCGAGTAGTTTTGAGTTGCGTTTCTTATAGTTCTCGATGAGTTCTATCGAAAAGTATCAGGGCTCAAAGCGATTGGACCAACGGTTTCCGAGATATACTCACTTTAAAAATTGTTGATCTTCAAGACCGACGATTGTACGGCGCGCAATTTGGGGGGAATATGGGAATTGCGTTTCAAGACCGACGAATGTTTGGCGCGCAAATTTGGGGGGGATTACGTATATTAGTTAATGATTAATAGGACATTGTTCTTACTTTGGGTAAATATTGCGAAGAATATTACTACGTCGACCCGCTAGAGGTCTATCGATATTCGCAAATTCTCGCAAGTGCTGAGATACGCGTATATCTCTTTATATAGAATCTCGATTTAATAACTTACACAGGCGTCTAAGGTAGGCTTCCACTACAATGCCTTACTAATGAGTCCAGTAGTGGAAACTGGGACGAAACGCCAAAAATACGTAATATTCTTCGCAATATATAGAATAAAATTAAATGTTTTAACGAATTTGTTTGCTCGTATACCCTTTCTCTCTTTATTATTAGTTTGAAAAACTTAACGAGCCTTCTACTACATGTTTTTATATATTTAGTTACGTAAATTTATTTATTCGTAATATATACCAATTTAGAATGTTTTTACAAAAAATAAGAAACTATGGGCGAGTTCAAGCTAGCAAAGCGGCTAGGTCTGATTGGTTGGCTCCATAGGTAAGAACTAATCATGTTCAGTCGCTCGGTGTGCAGGCTAACTCATTTATTCATTAGAAAATCGGTATCCTCAAAAAATCCGGACCTGCACGCTGGACAGTCATATCCAGCCGCGCGCTTGCATTTGGCGATGAACCAGGCGAATTTGGATATTTTTATAAATTAATATCTCGTTAACTACTGCGAAAATTGTAAAATGGTAGAGAGAGGACTTTTCTTCTAAATTAAATCTATTCTACCCTTATGTGACAAAATTTTTCATTATTTCTCAAACACCCTGTATAATAAAAAATTACATATTATAACTATTTTTTTTTAATTTTATATGTATTTTCTATATACCAACCAATTTTTTATCGCACTATGTTATATAAAAGATTCAGGATAAGTTCAAAAAATAAATATTTTTTTATCAATACTCTTTTATACAAGGTACGTCATATTTTACATTAAAATTTGTACTATTTAACTTTGCATCAAATGATTGCTTGAAGAAAAATATTACAAATTCATAAAAATAATTTTTAAAAAATCGTATAAGATATATATATTTACCTTCTGCGCTTTTTTCTCTTTTCTTTTTACCGCACATTGATACTCGGGCACAACACATTCCGGCCTCATGCCAACCGTTAAACACTTCTTTAGTCTGCATTCCTGGCACTTGCGGCGCATATACATGTCGATCTCGCAACCATTGCCGTATTTGCACTGATATACAGCGTTCCTAGTGATGCTTCGTCTGAAAAAGCCCTTGCAGCCTTCGCATGTAAGAGCGTTGTAATGATAACCAGACGCACGATCGCCACATACAAGGCACAATTCTTCTTGTTGTCGAGGTGTGGGTCCTTTTCTTTTTTTCGCATCAAGTCCTTCTCCACTTCCAACCCCGCTCCCTCCGCCACCGCTGCCACCACTATTGTTACCGCCACCTCCGCCACCACTTCCTCCAGAATTGTTTCCGTAGCCGTTTATTGAACCTGGCTGAGATAGTTCATCTCGCCCTGAAATTAAAATATAAATTTGTTTATTATAGTGTTTAGTTATTTATACAAGAATTTAGTTATATTTAAATAAATCGACTATACGATTACAATGGTAGTATGGAATTATTGGTAGTACAAGTGAAGAATTTCATTAACCAGTACTGAATACTCACAAACTAATGTGAATTGGTATTGAATAGAGATGTGCGATCTTCGGATCGATTTATTGTACTAAAATTAATTTTTGCAAAAAAATCACTACTTATGAAAAAAAAATACTTATGAGTCTTCTTTGTTAAAAAAAAAAGTAATGTACAAAACAGAATAATGTCTGTATAAAAATCGGCTAAAGTAAACAAATATATCGAATCAGTATTGAAACGGTATGTTGCTGATAGATTATTAATACCATATTCATATTGAAAAATTAGGAAAACAAATTATGTCTAGCGACTTTACTAAACTAATATACTGTCAAATTTTTAGTACCGCGCATCTATGCTAAAATTGTCAAAAATAGTGCATTGGATTTCAGGATCGAAATAATTGGTATACTGCCAATATATCTATAGTACAATTCATAAAAAATTTGGTCAATATCACACCAATATATTGTTGGTAAATTTTCTGTCTCGTGTCATTATACAGCCTATCCTAAAATTTCCTATATTAATATCGCCGGTAGATAGACGTGGAAAAGAATTTTATTTCTCATAAGTAAAAAACATATACACAGTTGGAAAAAATATGTTAAATTGACACGAAAATTTAAGTGGACCGTTTGCGATTGGGACATGCGGATTTATGTTAAATCCAACATATTTTTTTCAACTGTATATAAAAAAATGAAATATAATTTCTTTTTATGAAAGTCTCAGTCTCAGCTGTGTGATCTTGAACTAAATATATTATATATGTCGTCACGGTCATGACCTTAAAAGGTCTCAGGTTTTGTTTTTCCCTTTATTTCCTCTCTTCCCCCTGCTTAGGGACGCGCGACTGTACAAGTAAAGCGACTCTCACCTCACTTCCTCCCTGCCAAGAGGCGCAAGACTTTCCACGCGAAGCGACTCTCACCCTCCCTTATACTTCATATACTCATGTTACATATCGGTAGAATTAAGTAAATAAATAATAAAGATAGTACTATTTGTGTTTTAATTTGATAGAATTTAACTTGGAGCAGTTGTTGATATCAAATCTTTTATACAAATGATACGTGTTATTAGAATTAAATAAATAATAAGGATAGTACCATTTGCATTTTTAAACATAGTATCACTTACGTTTTACTTTTTAATTTGGTGAAGATAGTTCCACTGCATTTTTAAATATCACTTGGGTTTTACTTTTTAATTTGGTAAGAATATAATAGTACCACTTGTACCTTTTATTGTAAATCCTAAGAATTTTATTTTCGTATTCGTAGAATTCGTTTTTTGATGATATAGTATACAAACAAGCCACAAACATATAAATTATAAGTTTGTACTTGTTTAATTAGTTAAACAGATCATGTTTTTATTATACTATATAATATTAATAAAGTGAGTGCAAGCAATAGTTTATTTCTGAAAAATAAAGAAGTGTTGCTTCAGAAGACCTATGTCAGTATCAGTGACTTTCCTCTATTATTATAATCTAATATTTTAATCTCAAGCTGAACTTTTAAATTTGGAAACCTGTCGCTGACAAAGAACGTAGCGAAGAAGGGTTCTTGTGTGGCAATAGTGTAAACATCTTTTCAAGTGATAACTGTTCGTTTCAGAAATTATTAATTCAAGTAGTTTTGAATGCCTAGAAGGGCCGGACAGCAAGTTCAGATTAAAAAGAAATAACTTCTAGTCTAGCAAAATTTATTTTTAAATACTAACTATTTCACACTTTACTGAAAACTTTATCAATTCCGAAATCCAATTGAAATCCATCCAGACACTTTCCGAAATAATTATATTAATAATTATAAAAATAATGTTAATAATAGTAATAATAAATCTACTCAAAAATATAAATTGATCAAAATTAAACGTCAAATTTATTATCCAAATTATAAAATAATTTTAAAAAGTAATTCTCGATATATCGTAAATATAAAATTTGATACTTATTCATAGTTAAACCGCGCAACCTTGTCAAATCCCGAGTACAGTATTAACTTTAATGTATTGACCCGAAAACGAATATTTATTTTTAAATAAATAGCCACGGTTCGTGACAGTACCAATATTTTAAATTTGAATATTTATTAAGATTTTTTAAATATCACACATAACGGTCATTTATGATTACAAATCTTAAAAGAGAAAATAATATATAATTCTTAATTTATATAATCTAAGTTTAATCTTTAACAAAAAGGTTTAATATTTAGTTATAAGAATACATAATTAGAAATTAGGAATCGTGATTAATGCCAATTCTTTTTGATATTTTCATTAAAAAAACATTAGCTAACTCTAAAATTCTAAAAAATAATGTAAAATTGGATAACATATATCCAAAACTACACATATTTTTATACATACAATAAACATAAAATAAACAAGTCGATTAATATATAGCTTGTACATGTTTCAAAGAATATTTTCAATATTACATTCATTATTTATATCTATTATTACTTTTATAAATTGTGTTTCTGTATTAAATGTAAAGCAAGCCCCCATAAATATTTATTATTATTATAATAAAGTAAAAGAATATATATTTTGAACACCTCGATTGAATATTACGTCCATTTCTACGCTAAATCGAGAGACAACGCACGAAACGTTGCGGGTTTTAATATTCTTTAGCAAGGTTTCCATGTTGGTTAGTACTTCTCTGTCACGACGTAGCAGTGAGCGGCCTTGACTCTGGCTTTCTTGGTGAATGTCTATACAAGTGAACACACACAGTCACTCGTGTCCTCCTTGTTCTCTTGTCTTACCTAACAAATAGCAAGTGTTTCTCTCTCTATTTCTCCCACCGCACTGCGCTGTTTTCAGCTCAGAGACGAAAGCTAAAACGGGCCAGTGAGCACTGCTTCGTTTCCTTCTAGACTATAGTTAGTTAAGCGAGCGTGTGAAAAGAGGAAGTGGAAAAACATAGACACAATCTCGTACATAAAGCGAGAGAAAAAATTAGATTTTCGCGCAGGAATCCTTAAAAAATACGTATTCATACACACAAATACATATTTTTTAACAAAATGTTTATTTAAATTTTAAAATGATATTTCTGAAAACTTTATTTTTTCTGTGGATATTTCCATATAAATTTCTGAACTAAATATAAAAAAAATTTTTAAATATAAATATTTTTTGTGTACATTAAAAATAAATTGTATATTTTTTTCTTAAGAAATTCCTTCATACACGTATAATCACGGAAAAAAGATGAACTATTTTTTTTAAGTCACATAAATTATTGAAAAGAAATTTTATAGATATTTGCGTTTTCTATCCAAAATTTTGAATTGAACAGTATTGATGCACTGAAAAAGCTGATATTATTTTTAGATTGAAAAACATACAGATATGCTCCGTACAATTTCTATAAATATATAAAAATGTATTCAAAATTGAAAAGGATTTATTGTAACATTTATGAATCCGCGTATTTCTGAAAATCTGAATCTATTTTAATCCATTTCAATCCATTTACGTTTGCGGGGTTATTTTCCCATGGGTTTTACAAGTATTCTAAAAATTTTTTTTTAATTACATTTACCTTCTGAAAGACATTAAAAACATTATTTTTTAAAGTATAATTATTTTTTAAGACAGTGATCACGACGACTTAAACACGGCTTATCCGATATTAAGTTTCAAAATATCCATTTTTAATAGTTTTCTCCGCTTTTTTGTACTTTTTATTTTTTTTCTTTTAAATTATTATAAAAAAAGATCGAAATGGTTTTAATTCCTCAAAAAATGTTCAACATTCAAGAGGTTTTAACCGTTGCTTGGACACCTTGCTAATAATGCTAATACCCCGACGATACTTTAATATTTAAATCTCATAACCCGAAAAGTACTTAATAAAAAATAACTTTATTATAATGTTTCAAAATGCTCTTGACATCAGTTATTAGATTCTGGAATAAAAAAATAGGATATTTTGTTTAAAAAGATTGATTTTATCTTGACTTGACCTTGGAAACACCTACGATCAAACGGATGTGATCAATGAATGAATAGTTTCAAACTCTACAATCATTGTTTAAAACATTTTTCTCAAAAATATTTTATTTTCGAGGTATTTGACCACTTTCAGACTTTTTATACACCCTGTATATATGTATATTGCTGTGCTTGCAATAGAGCCGAGACACTAACGTGTCTCTTGGTGTGTGCGTGTGTGCGCGTGCGCAAGCATTTCATGCTTTCTCAAACAAAAAATATATAATTTTAGCAATTTACAATACAGAAACAAAAGTTTCGAGACAATTTTGAAACAAAATTGTTTTAATTTTAAATTCGTGAATTTAATTTCTTGATAATTAACTTTTTCAAACAGAAAACTATAATAAAAAATATTTCCTTATTTTCTTTTTAAAATTAAATCCAGCTTATTTACTTAAAAAAATGTAAACATGTTATAATTATAGTTTAGAGAATTTAAATTTAAATTTTTTTATAATTAGTGTGTATATATATGGAAAGAGTGGTTTTGCGAAAATGTTTAAAAATTTATTTAAATACAAATTGAAAAATGTTATTTCGCGATTATATAAAAAAATACATAAAATACTCAAATTAATTGTTAAAATATTAAAATTTCGTGCACCGTTGTCATCAACGCTCAAGCGTTCTACATATATCAGTTTAATAATCCAATAAAATTATTTCCAGATCCGTATCGTATCCGTAAAGTTAATACGGCGTTTTATTAACTTTTAAAAGCAATGATCGTTCGACAGTACAATAATTAAGCAAAATCTGGCCAATAAGATTATTACTGACCATCAAATGTTAAAGATATAAAAGCATGACTATATTTCTAGCACTATTTATTTCTTTCATAATTCGAGTGCT